CCCAGCCAAAACCAGGACAACGAGATCATTGGGAATCTTCTGAAAGCTACTCACAGAAATGGCTGTTAGCATGCATCAATGCCTCTTTTCTTCCCCAGCCTACTCAATTGTATTGTGTGTGAATAATTTAGCGGAGTGAATTGAGATTCTCTGCCAGGCCTCCAGGGAGACAGCATGTGTTCTGCGAATGCGGGAAGGGAGCGTTAAATGGTTGCACTTTACTTTTGTGCTAGCTCTGTTCTGAGTTGCCTTGCTATCCAGCAAAGGGCTTGTGGCAGACAAAGATAGTCTGGCATGAGCAGAGGAGTCTTCCTGAACAATCTTGAGCTGTCACTGGGACCAGTATCACAAAGCTTAAATTCTGCCCATGTGCTCAAATCCAGCATTGCCTTACTACTCCCAAGTGTTTGAAGGCTGTGAGTCAACCGGCAGAGGAAAACCAAGCACAGGGAATGGAATCTATGCTGAGTGAATTTGAGCCATCTTTCCTCAATGAGCAGTGATCTCAGCAACCTCTGAACAACATTTTTCCCCTGCTTCTAAACCGGAACTTAGAAAGAGCTTCTATATTTGATTTTCCATCCTTGAGCACTGTGGCCAGACCTGAGTCATAGAGATTCACTCCCAATTGTCATGTTCAGAGTCCTTTATTGAGGCAAGACACTAGGATATATGAGCCTTCTCTGTACCCTCGTCTTTAGGGGGAACAAAAAAGGCAAATGGGTTGCCCAGACAGAAGCCATAGCATGCTCTACCAGGTCCCCCCATGTAAGTTGCCTGCCATGGCACATGCTAGCAGGTGAATCTAGATACAGCAATTCCTAGTGCTTTAGCCAAAGCAAACTTAGGAATGTCAAAAGGGAGCCCTTTGCTGAATCCTAAGCCAAAAGTCAGTTTTTCATGAGGAGGCCTTGTAACTCTTCTTTTTTATTCTTTCTCTCTCTATAATTTTAGTGCTGATTTCTTGCAGCAATGCTAGAAGCAATAGTCTTTTTACAGTCCAGCAGCTTACTGTTTTTTAGAACAGATCTAAAACATGACCAGTAATGATACTAGTAGAAGCACTGGACTGATTTTTTTCCCTTGCTGCTTCCAGTGATGGTAATGTAACTGAGCAGCTGTCTGTAAAGCATGTTTCTTGTTGAGAATAGTAGGAATTAGATAGTTACGTTTGTTGTTTGAAAGAGCTGAGCTGATGAGTAGCTGCCATGGAGAACAAACATCAAAGGAAACTTTCATTTTTAGTTTCTGTTAGCTGTTTGCATGTAGAATTGACAGTAGCTTACAAGATGAAGAGCTGACCCAGTTTCTCCTGAGTGAAGAATTACATACCATGTCCTTGAAATACCAGCATTCTGAAAAAGGAGATCCATCAGTTCTGCATGTGTTTCTGAACTTCAGTGCTACCTTTATATTTAAGTATCAAGGGATTAAGTATTCTTGCTGTTCCGTGTCCAACCTATAAGGTTGTTCTTGATTAGTGTTCATATAACACATGTATGTTGTCTGTATAGAAGATTAAAAAGCTTCTTGTTCTCCAAAAGCACATTAATGTACTTCTATTTGATTTGGGGTAAGAAATTGAACACTACTTTTTTTTTTTTTTTTTTTCTTTTTCTTACAGGCTTTGTCATCTTGTCTAATCTTACCAGGAGATACCACTGTCATAAGTTCTTCATGGGACAATCATATGTGTGTATTTGCTTCCTATTGACTTTGTAGAATTACATTGAGTGCCTTGGTCGTTACGTTTATGGTTTTAGATAATGATACAGAAATTCATTGTTAAAACGCAATGTCTGTATTTCTACTCTTTTTTTCGTAGATTTCTGTTAGACCTGTAGAAGCAAAGTTACTGTTATGTATTTAGAAAAAAACATTTACATTTTCCAAAGACATAATGCTTTTATAACCTTTTCCTGTTAGATATTTTTATTCAATTGCATTTGGAAGACGGCAAGACATCTTAATGGGACATGATGATGCAGTCAGTAAGATCTGTTGGAGTGATGGGCGTTTATATTCTGCATCTTGGGATTCCACTGTGAAGGTTTGTATATGGGTTTGTTATACTTCAATAACTATTTATAGCTAGCACTTTGTAATATTCAGCCAGCCAAATGCTTTGGAGTGGATGTACCTGTTGTACTAGAATAATAACTTAGCTAGTATCACAGTAAGTTTATTTCTAGAATATCTTCTTCATTTAGCTTTATCTCAACTCTGTTTCAAAGCTAAAATGTTAATTTAAAGAAATTTCATTCCTTCTAACTTACTCCAAATGTGGGGGGTTTGGAGGCAAACTGTATTTGTTGGAGGAACTGGAATGTTTTGTGACCTTGGCTGGTGATTCTGTTTGCAGAGTGGAATAGGCTTCTAAAATGTTTAATAGCTTTGTAGCTTATGTTCTTCAGCTAAGTGGACCAGGAACTTGCTAATCTAAAGAGCATGCCTACAGTTAGCTGGAAAGATAATTTGGAAGTTAGAGACAGGAGAGAGAATTTCCTAAAGCCTTCTGTGTATGGCTTTTTGCTAAGTATGCATTCAGTGCAGTGATATACCCGTACTTAGGCAGGCTTCTGTAAGCTATCTGGAATCAGCATAGTCATGTTTAATATGTGGCTCTGCTTAGGGTAAACGAGTTCAGGTGCCACTTGTTGTTGCCGTATTCTGCCACGTAGGCAAGGCCCACAGTTAACACAAGCTGCCCTCCTTGTAATGTGAGAATTCAGTACTGAAGAAACTCATCCAGAGTTATACTAATGCTTCCCTGAGCAAACTTAAATATCTGTGTTGTAGGTGTGGCACTGTGTTCCTGGAGAGACCTTGAGCAATAAAAAACACCACTTTGAACTGCTTGCAGAGTTAGAACACGATGTTAGTGTAAGTATGTGGATAGAGATATAGTATCTCAGAATATGCAAATTAATTCATTAAAATCAAAGTCAAGATCTAATGGTAAAGCACAAGGATTGGGTTAGGGGGCTGAGGGTGTGTGTTGCTTTGGGAAGTGTGCATGTAGGGGTGTTTTTGTTTCGTTCTGTTTTTTTTTGTCTGATGTGTCCTGCACCAGTATCCCCTGCTTCCCTGGTTGAAAGGTCCACTCCTGAGGACTGAAACAACAGTATAAACAGAGGTTTCTTAATTTGTCTTGCTCAGCTTGTGTGCACAAAGTTCTGGGGGGGACGGGGAGGGCTGGGGTTTTTTTGTTTGCTTCTTTGTTTTTGAAAACAGACTAATGTTTTTCAAGTATTTTCATTGTTATAGCTTCTTCTTAATGTATCTTTGCCAAAGGCAAGCAAATGAAAAAGAATTGCTCTGAGTTGTTTACCATGCTGTAAAACATATTAGTGAATTTCATTGTAAATATATAAACACATCATGTGCAGTGAATCATAAATGTGTAACTGCACACTTTTATTTATAGCCTCTAATGTCACTTTAGTAGGATGCTGTGTTTTAAACATTCTTAATAGTTTTTTAACAGGTCACAACATAGGCAAATACTGAAACAGTTCTGATAACATTTAAGAACTGCACCCAAGAGAATTGGAAACAACTGTACCCAACAGAATAGGAAGTTCTTTAAAAGTAAAGAAGGATTTTACCTTTAAGGGTAAAGTCTTACATTTAGATGGACAGTATGGCTACTAAAAGTAGTCTGAAATGTCAGTTTACTTTTCTGATTCTGCAAAGAAAAAGCATTTTAAAACATCATCAAAGGGACCCATTTTTCCTTTTTATGGGTAGGATTTTTAATAATTGTACTTCATTAAGGATGTTGCAGAATTACATGTAAAAGCTTTCTGTAAATAAAGTATCATCTTACAGATAATGGGCTTGCTTTGTATATGTTTTAAACATGTCTCAAGATGGCTCACATGAAAGAACAGGAAAATCATGGGATGTTTAACTTCCTAGGTCAATACAATCGACCTTAATGCTGCAAATACTATACTAGCGTCTGGAACCAAAGAGGGTACCATTACTGTTTGGGATGTTACTACAGCAACAGTGTTGCACCAGTTGCCATGTCATTCTGGGACTGTGTTTGATGCTGCTTTTAGTCCTGGTATGTTGGATTTCAGTTTTTAATATGCACAGTTGGGAGTTTCAAATGGAATCTTATTCCTGATATCATGTAATACACCCTTGTTATAGGAATTACTACTTCAAGGGGGATGGTGAGATGTTTTGGATTGACACGCATCTTCATTATAAAGGATTTATGAATTGTACACAAGGCCATACTAGACTGTAGACCCGTGGTCTAGACTCTAAACTGATTTTGTTTATCATTGCTTGCTTAGAGACTTAATTTACGGTAAATTATCTATAAATGAGTAGGTCAGGCAATGTCACATCCAACATGCTGTATCGCAGACTCCTTTGGTAACTAGAACTGAATGCCTAAACATGCTTTTTTGTTGTTGTTTCTTTTGTTTGCTTTTTTCTTTTGTGCAGACAGCAGACATCTACTCAGCACAGGAGAGGACTGTTGTTTTAAAGTAATAGATGTACAAACTGGAATGCTTATATCTTCTGTAGCTGCTGATGAGCCACAGAGGTAATTCTGAGAACATACAGATTATGAAGCTGCGTGGCCAACTTAGTTAACTGTGGAGGTGCTTGATGGTTGGTGATAGCAGAATGGAAAGGGCAGTAATACCGGCAACTTTGTTTTATTGAATTACTTTTTAAAGTGGAAAGGCTGACATTCTAGCATGTTGTGTGCATTATGATCAAGCTTTCCAAACTGGGACAAAACCAAACAAGTATCTAAGTAAATAACAACAACTTTAATGTCCATAAAAGATGATGGGAGCTGTAGCTAACCAGCTCTTCCAGCAGCTGAGCTACCAAAATTTCTAACAAGGAGACAGTTCTCTTACTTGAATCATCTCTGTCAATAATCTTGGGTTTGGTGGTTTTTTTTTTTGCAATGCTTCCTTTTTGTTTTGATAATCTAAGAAAAGATTGGCTATTATAATTAACGAGTAGTCACTTTTTTTTCATAAACCAAAATGCATACAGTTCTTTATGGTTTATCAGGTAAATAGATGGAATACTTAGTTACTGGAGTAAAAATACAGTAGCCATACATGGAGTACACTTGTTGGTTTCTTTTGTGTGTGTGTGTATACATAAATATATATGTATATGCATGTGTATATATATTTTCTCTTCAGTTATTTCCCTGAAAGTCCTTTTTGCACTTGATTGTTTCAGGAACATGAAGTGACAGAAGTGAAAGTGATGGTTCACTTGGGTGAACTTGAGAGCACTTGGGTACCATATACATTTATGGCTGACTGGGTCCTCTTCTGTTACAGGAATATGCTTCATCCTTCTGCCAGGGGAAGGTCTGGCTGGGTCTAGGGCAGTCAGAGAAGCAAGTTTGGGTCATGATCCTTTAAAATAATTTGGGAATAACATTTCTAGAAAGACTGTGTTAAAGGGTAGAATTTCCTTCAGTTTCATACCTCCATTTTGAATTCTTTTTGGCTTGGTCAGTTTGGAAATGTTCAGCTTTCATTATACAAAAGCTTGAAGTGAACTGATTTCAGGCTTACTTGCAGGTGCTTCAAATGGGATGGAAATACCATCTTATCGGGAAGTCAGTCTGGTGAGTTACTGATTTGGGACCTTCTTGGAGGAAAAGTTACTGAAAGAATCAAAGGACATACAGGTATGCCTGAACTATTCTCATTCTCAAATTGAATGAAAGATTCCTATTTTCCAGCTCTGTTAGTATTGAAAAGTTTGAGAGTCATCTATTCAGTTAGGAGGCTGTTCTTGATGTTAGTGTTGTCTGGAACACCAGAACTAAAAGTAGGTCCACACGAGCCTCCTAGGAAATTTAGTAACAATGGAGGAATATTACTGTTTACAAGACTGACCAAAGGTAAATGACTTGGGATTTTTCTAATTCACACAGTATCACAAAAGTCAACATTTTTCTACCTCATAGCCCTAATAAAGTGTAGCATAGACTGCGTTGTATACTTTGTCAAGGTCCATCCAGACTGTGAATCTAACAACAAATTAAGTAAAGTTCCCTAGAGAAATTGTTTTGGATGGGGATTTATAGGCTTCTTAAATTTATCTGTATAGTCTTCAGTACATTAGCAACCAAAACGCGTGAAGGAGAAAAACTATCAATCATCTCAGTTTTGTTCAGTTTGGTTTTTAAGGCTGCCTTCATGAACAGTTATTTCAAACTTACCTACTATAAGCTTGTACTCTGGAACTTGACCTGTATAGAGATCATTCTGTAGCTAGAGGAATCTTTAGAAGTGGGCTTCTAGGCATGTGCTAGATGTGAATACACTTTTAACAGAAGTCCAAATGGCAGAGTGAAAAATCTCACTTTCTAGAGAAACCTCCTCCCCTTATGCCCGTGAATCCTTTAGCCAGTGTGCCATCTGCATTCTACACTGCAACTGACATTGTCCCTCTAGTACCCAAAGTCCGCTGAGGCGATGTAGTATGAGATCGTTGCTGTGAATAAGAACAGCCACCTAGAAGCCCACTAAAATTCTTCTTAGTGTATGTGGTGTCAATGTGGTCCAAACTAATGATCAGATGATCCTAAACCCTTAAAAAGATCTGTTCCATCATCTCAAGTACTACTTGTATTTGCATTTAGATTAGTTTGTTTGTTTGGGTTTTCCCCCCCCCCAGGTGCTGTAATGTCCATGTGGATGAGTGAACAGTGCAACAGTGTTATTACAGGAGGGGAAGACAAACAAATCATGTTCTGGAAACTGCAATATTAAGTGCCTTTCCCTCCAGACATTTAAATGAACTCTTATTTTAAACCAAACCTTTTAAAGGAACTGTGTGCAATGATGGCTGCTGAAGTTCAACCAGATAGGAAGCTTTGTTCAACTACAACTTTCTATGTTATGGTGACTTCACTGAGAGCTCTTAACTTCCATAGTGTATGCATTTGTTTTTCATGGACTGAAAATGCTTGTCTAAAATGATATCTGAGATGAAATTAAAGACCTATTTTTCTGTAATTAAAGAGCTGTTAACTTGCAGTCATTGTTTGATTTACATAGAATGCATCACAGCATGCTGTTTCAGCTGGTTTCAAAGAAGCGTTTGCATTCTTAAGTCTTTAAGGATGCTTGCAACTTAGCATGTCATGAGACACGGCAGTGCTAAGGCAGCTGTTGGTTTGAGCAGTGGTTGGTCTAGTCTACTATCTAGTCTCCAAATGTGGCTATTTGCAAAGGCATACAGAAGAATAAGAACATATTCTGCATTGCTTTTTCCTATTGAAAAATAGCACTGATGTATTAGCCTGAAAGGAAGCCAAGCATAAAATTGATCCCTAACAGAGAATAGTTACACATATGTAATGTGTTGATATAAATCTTCCCCAATACTGTACCTGAAGTTAGTCCGTCATGTCTTATGCTGCATTACTACTACCTTTCATCACCTCTATTACTATCCTTCTCTTAATAATCTTCAGCATCTTCATGTTTTGTTTGGTATTCTCATCCTCTTTCAACTCAAATCACCTTAGGGATGAAATTTAAGTACAGCATTTAAACAGAGCTACAGCTCCTGGGTTTATCTAATCCCTTGTTGTCTTAACCCAGTAACAAAGCAGTGTTGCTCTAGGCTTACTTTCTCTGTAGGACTTAAGGATATGATTTCCTGCAAGGAGCTGTTCTGAAGTTAAAGACTTGAAATAGTCTTTAAATGGCTTATTTCAGCAACAAGCAGTTGCAGTTGTGATACTGCCTGAGTGTGACCCACAATCACTATTTTTTTCTCTGATGGTATTCTCTAGTGCTAGTATTAAGATGCCCTGTCAATGTGTCCAGGACAAGCATTCTTCTAAATTATGTTCAGTCAGTCCTTTGTCTGTAGACATCCTGCCTTGGTTTTGACACCTAACACCTATTTCAAGGCATAGCTGTTTCTTTAGCATTGAAAAAACAATTGTTTTATGGTTAGGGGCTATCTTTTCATTCTCCCAATTCTTGATTATGCTAGACTTCTAACTTACTTTTTAGTCAGGTAATGGCATGATGCTAAAGCAAACTGGCATTTCAGCTGCATTACTCACTTGGCTTAGCAAATGACTGAATTTTTATGTAATCAATGAGTGGGTGTGGTGAAGGCACATAAGGCAAAATATTAAGCCATACCATGCATGCCTGCTGTTACCAGTCTTAATGGTGCAGCAGACTGTTTCTTTACTTTTCATTATATTTATTTCCCAACTATATCTGTGTGTAGGCAAAGATGACATAGAAATCCGCATTCTACACTTGCTTGGAGATGTCTTAGGTGATTTCTGGATTGAATTAAAAGCTTTTTATGTGTTGTTCTAAGCATGCCTATCACTGCTTGTTTACCTCCACCCTGTTGTATTTTGTCCCTGGCCCACAAGGCTTAGGTTTTCTGCATTACAGTACCAGCCTGAGTTTAGAATTTGCACTACAACTTGTTTCACCTTTTAGCACATCCTATTTTTGTATTCTGTCCTGCTAATGTGCAATTTTGCAACTCAGGTTATACTCATGTGCTTGAAAATCACAAAGGAACTACCTGAGTAACAGTAAACTACACACCTTCATACCTGTTTTCTTCATGCTGTCTTACCCAAATTTTGGACACAGCTGTGCTCCTTTGTCACTAGAGGGCTCCTTACTGATCTAAACTAGAGGAAAATGACCCTGGAACTTTGTGACCCCTGAATTTTGACTTAAGCTACCTCAGACAGAAAATACCCTTAACTTTCTTTTGGTTAAATATGTACGCATACAATGCATAGCTCTTAAGTGCATCTGATGTTTGATTTCTGCTGTAAAGCATGCTCACAAAACAGAGCCCTCAGCTAGCTGTTTTACTGCCTAAAACAGCCTTAGCTTTTTAAGGGGGTGAAATCAAATTACTAGGTTATATGATCAGTATGTTAGTTCTTTTTTTTTAAATCAGATGTGTGCAAGGAATTATATAGAGACCGAGATTTTCTTGCAGCTTAACTCAAAGTTCATCTGTGTACATACATTTAACCATAGCTTGCTTACTCTTCAATGCAAGCTAGTTTCTGCATGAAAACAGGAGATTTTTATTAGTTCTTTCACTTCTGGTTGCTACATGCTACAGCTGGAAGGAAAACACTAAGTACTTGTACTGAAGTTCTACCCCTCTATTATTTCCAATGGATCTCCACTGGCCCCTGCTGAATCATCTGCTCCTAAGTGAAAACTGGCTAGATATAGAGATCAGCATTTCAATAATAAATTTTCAGCTCCAGGGATTTCATAGCTAAGCAAACTAGATTGCCAAGAAACTTAGAGATGACTGCCACAGGTCCTATGCCCATAGGGCTGAATCATACCAACGCTACGTGAAGTCACCAATTACTGCCAGTACATGCTTGCCACAGAGGTTCCAGAGACGTATCATTTAGTAACCAAACAGTCTAATTAAAGTGGCTCCCAGGATTAAATTAATCACCACTACAGCCTGAAGTAGTGCAGTGGTTTTCCCTCAGTTACCATAATTGAGAAATTCATTTGAGAAACAAGAAGCTACAAGACAGACTCTTCTTGACAGGCACAGCTGAGCTTACACTGCTAAACTTAACAGTACTCTGAAGTTCAGTAATCCTAGATTGCACAGCTGAAACCTGGAACAGAGCATAAAAAAAAAAGGAAATCACTCACCAAAACTGATATTTAACTTCAGATCACTTAACTTCTTAAAGTCTCAGTTGAACATGCCTATGACCTAGTCTGGTGGGTTGACCCCAGCCAGCAGCTGAGCCCCCCCACTGAGTTTCTCACTCATCTGCCCCACAGCAGGATGGGTAAGAGAATCAGAAGGGCAAAAGCTAGGAAAATTTGTGGGTTGAGATAAAAGACAGTTTACTAAGTGAAGAGGAAGGGAAAAAAAAAAAAAAGAAAAAAAAAGGTGATGCAAAGGCAATCACTCACCACCTCCCACCAGCAGACTGATGCCCAGCAGTCTCCAAGCAACAGCTACTTTGGAAAGACTCCCCCCCAGTTTATTTGCTGAGCATGATGTCAAATGGTGTGGAATTTTTCTTTGGTGAATTTGGGTCAGCAGTCCCAGCTGTGTCCCCTCTCAGCCTCTTGGCCACCCCCAGCCTATTCCCTGGGGGCAGGGACAGGGTGGGAAGCAGAAAAGTCCTTGACACTGTGCAAGCACTGCTCAGCAATAGCAAAAACATTGGTGTGTTATCAAGGCTGTTTTAGTCACAAGTCTCAAACACAGCACCATACAGCTGCTGTGAAGGAAGTTAACTCCATCCCAACCAGACCCAGTACACCCAGCAAGCTGCAAACAGTTTTCAAATGAAATTCCCACTATACAATTAGTATGTCTTGTAGAGCAGTTAGGCTGCTATCCCATGTGTTAAGCTGAAGGTATGCCAAGAGTTAAGCATATCTTGTCTAAAGTATCCCAGCTCTACCCTTTTAAAACATTTCAACATTGTAGGCAGTGAGCTTATTTAGAAAGCTCGTTTAAACTGTATTTCCTATCTTGTCTTTGTCGTTGGTTGAAACTGACCTCAACTAAACAAGCCTGTCTTAGCTCATCTTAAGAAGTATGCGCGCACACACACCCCCCGAATCTAAAGTTTCGGTCATTTATTTGGTTATTTCCGAATCCTTAAGAACATGGTTAAGGCGAGAGATAAGCATATTAGTTACAATTTGTATAACAAGTAATAAAAAGATTTGAGTATCTGTACACTACTTTGATTTAATATGCTTACTTACTGAATGATGCCTTTAGCTATATTCAGCTTAGCTGGCATTCTTGTGTAAACAGTATTTACTAGAACAAAAAATTAACTAGTACTAGCCATACTTCTAATACGCTATTTCAAATCTACTCTTGTGAACAGAAAGCAGTAAAAATACTCATTTGTCTTAAACATACAAAGCACAGCATTGTTCTAGGTAACAACACGTAACTTTGCAAGTGATATCTGGTTCCTTTAGTTGCAATGGCTTATAGTAGTAGTAAACTAAATAAAAGGCCTACGAAAAGAAGTCATAACACAACTGGAATTTCACATTTGTCAAGCGTATAAGGCTACAAGTTTTACAGTTTGTGAATAAACGAGATATGTTGAACTGTAACATTCCCAGCCATTATAGATGCAAATGCTTGATGCAGCATATCTTTTCTTAGCCTCCAGAAAGGCTCATGTGCAGAAGAAAGAAATCACTGAGTATAATAGCCCAAGTTTAGTGGAATCATCATTATATATATGTACACACACATGCAGGTTTAGACTTCAGGAACAGAGTGATCCATCAGGCTTTTCATAATGCTAGTTGCCATCCTAAAGAAAAGGAAAAGGCATTCAGTTTTGTAAGACAACTGTAGAAAACTACTAAAGCTTCTGATCACTGTGCCTTTGTCATCACTAGCCCTTTAATACAATTTTTAGAAGTTGGCCTTTTACTCCACAATTTTTGACAATGAATATGTTGCTACAGAAAGCTGCACCAAACTGCACACACAGAAGAGAAGCGCACGATACTCAACGTTTTTATTAGTAACTGAGCTGTGTTATCAACATCTTTCAGGACATGGGCATGTGTGCAAGCACAAGTATGAGGGAAGGAGGGCAGGGGGAAAAGGCAGCTGTTAGACTGAAAACAGTTTTGTAGAAAGAACATACCAAATGGAAGGGAAAAAAAAAAGAGACTCAATTATACCTGAAGCATTATTAATTTCTAGCAACTTCAAAAACATATTTTTGCAGGAGAGATTTAGCTGTAGAAAGCCAGGGGCTGCCAAAGGATTAGTAAAAACCAACTGTATCCTGCCAAGAATCATGTTTACGTCACCAGAATTAGTTGCACTAGAAGCAAGATTTTAGTTACAAGGTAACAAATACTTGTGTTATCCATCTACTTGAAAGTTCTGGGAAACTCAAATTTAGTCAAATGACATTTGGAAAAGGGTTTTTCAAGAGAAGAAAAGGCAAAGGAGTATCACTAATATATGAATAGATTAAAAAC